CTGCGGGAAAGACTTCAAAAAGCCTCCCCTAACCTTTAACTCACTTCAAAAGAAAACATAGCATTCATGGCTTCCTCCAGCAGTGACAGACGTAACGCCGACCTAAATGTTGTAGGAGAACACCCTTAGCCCGCCACTGTATGCATCGGGCAATTCACCGTCCCCCTCTTGGAGGACGGAATCCCTAGCCTTAATGCACCACAAACAGTGGCACCTATGAATGTTCCCCTTCCCCCCTCTATCGAGACAACCTTCGTCGAACCGACCGTTGTCCCTCTGGCGACCAGCCAGAATCAGTTTGATGACTTGATGCAATGCATGCGGGCCATGCAAGCCCAAATGCAACAGTTTCAACAACACCAACTTCATCAGCAGCAAGTACTACACCACATTTCTCAGTACCACTACCAGCAGCAGTTCCCCCAACTGTCTCAGAACCAACCACAACTACCACCTCGGCACCCTGTTCTCAAGCAGGTCAAGCCCTCTCCTCAAGGCGGGACCTTCACCAAGGGGAAGTTTCCTAGCCTCAGAACCCCTCCAGAAGCCAGTCCTCATCCCCTGGCAAGAGGGAAAGACTAACTGCCCCCGCCTCGCAGCTCGCCGGCGGATCGGGAACCTCCCAGCCAATCAAGTCGGCACCACCTCGGCACTCTAAGTTAGGGCTCCCGCTCACGGAGAACCAATTCGGCATACTGGCCGCAGACTACCACCAGCAGTTTGGGCCCATTGAGCTCGGCAACACCGAAGCAAGTAGTGCCAATACCGGAACTTCCAAGCAACAGCGGAGGCACCAGCGAAGTTGGCGAACTACCACCCGCGTCCTGCCCGAGCTCCAAGGTAAAGAAGAAGCAAGCTCGGACGAGGTAAAAGTTGCCCCTATTCTTTCAGTCCCTTCCCCCCCTGTCATCATCACTCCTCGTTGTTCCCATGCCCAAAGATTTCAAACTCCCTCCGCTAGACAAGTATGATGGGTCCTTTGACCCCAGTGATCACGTTGATGCCTTCTAGTCCCAGATGCACCTGGCGAGGGCCAGCGAGTCCTGCATGTGCATGGCCTTCACTACCACCTTCAGGGGAGTGGCCCGCACCTGGTACAGGAACCTGGCCCTCGGGTCGATAAGGAGATGAACCCAACTTGTGCAAGTCTTCACCGCGCACTTTGTCACCAGCAAGCGGTGCCCCCGAACGGAGGAGAGCCTCCTCAGGATAGTCTAGAAGGAAGGAGAGTCCATCCGGAGCAATATCAAGCGGTTTAACGACGCGTGCTTACAGATACCGCGTCTAGACCCAACAGTACAGCTCGCGGCGGCCAAGAGGGGTGTGACGCACAAGGAGTTCAAATGGCACATGGTGGTCAGCCAGCCCGCGACTACAGCTGAATTCCTCAAACTCGCGGACAGATTCATAAGAACAAAAGAGGAGATAAACCAAAGAACTGAGGGCGAACCTCCCAACCAAGACGATAGGTGAAAGAAATACTCACCTCGGGGGGTGAAGCCGAGCCAGCTGTTCCGAGCTCCCATGGCAGATCGGGCAGACTACACGCCCTTGAATGCAAAGCGGGCTGAGATCCTGATGACGATCAAGGACGCCCCGTACGTGAAGTGGTCACCTCATCTGAAAGGGAACCCAAATGAGAGGAATAAAAATTTGTATTGTAGCTTTCATAGAGACCAGGGTCATAGCACCGAGCATTGTAAGAATCTCCGCGACGAGATAGAGGAGCTTATCCGTCGCGGGTACCTAAGAAATTTTGTACTACATAATAATAATAATAATAATAATAATAATAATAATAATAATAATAATAATAATAATAATAATAATAATAATAATAA